AACTCAGAATTCAGAAACTAACTCAGAACCGCACAGCTTCATGGAAACTAAACAACTGGCTCTTGAATGTTAACTGGATAAACAATGAAATGAAGGCAGAAATAAAGAAGTTCTTCGAAACCAACAAGAACAAAGACACAACATACCAGAATCTCTGGGACACATTTAAAGCAGTCTCTAGAGGAAAATATATAGCAATAAGTGCCCATATGAGAAGAGTGGAAAGATCCAAAATTGACACCCTATCATCAAAATTGAAAGAGCTACAGGAGCAAGATCAAAAAAACTCAAAACCCAGCAGAAGACAAGAAATAACTAAGATCAGAGCAGAACTAAAGGAGATAGAGACACGAAAAACCCTTCAAAAAATCAATAAATCCAAGAGCTGGGTTTTTGAAAAGATCAACAAAATAGACAGACCACTAGCCAGAGTGATAAAAAAGAAAAGAGAGAACAACCAAATAGATGCAATAAAAAATGATAAAGGGGAAATCACCACAGATTCCACAGAAATTCAAACCATCATCAGAGAACATTACAAACAACTCTATGCACATAAACTAGTAAACCTGGAAGAAATGGATAAATTACTGGACTCCTGCATCCTCCCAAGCCTAAACCAGGAGGAAGCTGAAACTATGAATAGACCAATAACAAGGTCAGAAGTAGAGGCAGCAATTAAGAGCCTACCACACAAAAAAAGCCCAGGTCCAGACAGGTTCACAGCCGAATTCTACCAGACACACAAAGAGGAGCTGGTCCCATTCCTTCTGAAACTATTCCAAGTAATCCAAAATGAGGGAATGCTTCCCAAATCATTTTACGAGACCAACATCATCCTGATACCAAAATCCGGCAGAGACTCAACAAGAAAAGAAAACTTCAGGCCAATATCCATGATGAACATAGACACTAAAATCTTCAATAAAATACTGGCAAGCTGATTGCAACAGCACATCAAAAAGCTTATCCATCATGATCAAGTAGGATTCATCCCAGGGATGCAAGGCTGGTTCAACATATGCAAGTCTATAAACGTAATTCACCACATAAACGGAACCAAAAACAAAAACCACATGATTATCTCAATTGACGCAGAGAAGGCCTTTGACAAAATTCAACAGCCCTTTATGCTAAAAACCCTCAATAAACTCGGTATTGATGGAACATATCTCAAAGTAATCAAAGCTATTTACAACAAACCAACAGCCAATATCATACTGAATGGGCAAAAACTGGAAGCATTCCCTTTGAAATCTGGCACTAGACAAGGATGCCCTCTTTCACCACTCCTATTCAATATAGTACTGGACGTTCTAGCCAGAGCAATCAAGCAAGAAAAAGAAATAAAGGGTATTCAAATAGGAAAGGTAGAAGCCAAATTGTCTCTATTTGCAGATGATATGATAGTATACCTAGAAGACCCCATCGCCTCAGCCCAAAAACTCCTGAAACTGATAGGCAACTTCAGCAAAGTCTCAGGATATAAAATCGATGTGCAAAAATCATAAGCATTCCTATGCACAAATAACAGAGTTAAAGAGAGCCAAATCAAGAATGAACTGCCATTCACAATTGCTACAAAAAGAATAAAATACCTAGGAATACAACTCACAAGGAATGTAAGGGACCTCTTCAAGGAGAACTACAAACCACTGCTCAACTAAATAAGAGAGGACACAAACAGGTGGAGAAACATTCCATGTTCATGGTTAGGAAGAATCAATAGCGTGAAAACGGCTATACTGCCCAAAGTAATTTACAGAATCGATGCTATCCCCATCAAGCTACCATTGACTTTCTTCACAGAACTGGAAAAATCCACCATGAACTTCATATGGAACCAAAAGAGAGCCCGCATAGCCAAGTCAATTCTAAGCAAAAAGAACACAGCGGGAGGCATCACACTACTGGACTTCAAACTATACTACAAGGCTACAGTAATCAAAACAGCATGGTACTGGTACCAAAACAGAGATATAGACCAATGGAACAAAACAGGGGCATCGGAGGCAACACAACATATGTAGAACCATCCAATCTTTGATAAACCCAACAAAAACAAGCAATGGGGAAAGGATTCCCCGTTTAATAAATGGTGTTGGGAAAACTGGCTAGCCATGTGCAGAAAGCAGAAACTGGACCCCTTCCTGACACCTTACACTAAAATTAACTCCAGATGGATTAAAGACTTAAACATAAGACCTGGCACCATAAAAACCCTAGAAGAAAATCTAGGCAAAACCATTGAGGACATAGGAGTAGGCAAGGACTTCATGACCAAAACACCAAAAGTATTGGCAGCAAAAGTCAAAATAGACAAATGGGACCTAATAAAGCTCCACAGCTTCTGCACGGCAAAAGATACAGTCACTAGAGTGAATCGGCAACCAACAGAATGGGAAAAAATTTTTACAGTTTACCCATCTGACAAAGGGCTAATATCCAGAATTTACAAAGAACTAAAACAGATTTACAGGAAAAAAACAAGCCCATCCAAAAATTGGCAAAGGATGTGAACAGACACTTCACAAAAGAAGACATACATGAGGCCAACAAACATGAAAAAATGCTCATCATCACTGGTCATTAGAGAGATGCAAATCAAAACCACATTGAGATACCATCTCACGCCAGTTAGAATGGCGATCATTAAAAAATCTGGAGACAACAGATGCTGGAGAGGATGTGGAGAAAAAGGAACACTTTTACACTGTTGGTGGGAGTGTAAATCAGTTCAACCATTGTGGAAGACAGTGTGGCAATTCCTCAAGGCCTTAGAAATAGAAATTCTATTTGACCCAGCAATCCCATTACTGGGTATATATCCAAAGGAGTATAAATCATTCTACTATAAGGACACATGCACACGAATGTTCACTGAGGCACTGTTTACAATGGCAAAGACCTGGAACCAACCCAAATGCCCATCAATGACAGACTGGACTGGGAAAATGTGGCACATATACACCATGGAATATTATGCAGCAATAAAAAATGATGAGTTCGTGTCCTTTGTAGGGACATGGATGAATCTGGAGAATATCATTCTCAGCAAACTGACACAAGAACAGAAAATGAAATACCGCACATTCTCACTCACAGGTGGGTGATGAAAAATGAGAACACATAGACACAGGGAAGGGAATACTGCACACTGGGGTCTATTGGGGGGAACAGGGGAGGGACAACGGGGGGGGAGCTGGGGAGGGATAGTCTGGGGAGAAATGCCAAATGTGGGTGAAGGGGAGGAAGGCAGCAAAACACACTGCCATGTGTGTACTTATGCAAGTATCTTGCATGTTCTGCACATGTACCCAAAACCTAAAATGCAATTTAAAAAAATTAAACAAAAAAAAAATCGAACTCTATTTGTACTCTGTTATAAAAAATATACGAACTCTTTGTTCTTAGGAAAAACGTACACACTCTAATTGTACTTCCCTTATAAAAATATGCAAACTCTATTTGTACTCTGTTAGAAAAAATATATAAACTCTGCTTTTACTGTGCTATACAGAATATAGCCCTGGAGACAGACACACAGATACACACAGACACACACACACACACACATTCTAGACACACAGCTGGTAGTGTCCAGCCAAATACTTAGTAGTGTGAGGAGGGCTTTGAACCCATCCATGCTCCAAAGGAAGAGACACCTTTCCCTAATTCACAAGTCCATTCTCCCTCCTTCTCCCCCAACCCTGCCTCCTCCTCAAGCCCACGCATTATTACACAGAACACAATTAGGCAGGGCTATCAGGTTAAAGCATTGTCAATGATGCTCTCATCAAAAACAACAGCACAGTCAAACAGAGAGCATGCTTGCATATGAAATGTGATTAATTCTTTCAGACATGGCTCAAGATGACTGGGGGCACACCACCAGGACAGCAGCTCTGCTCTGCACGGAGCCTAGCTGTGTGCCTGGCCACCTCCCAAAGTGCCTCCCACTCTCATTTCCCCCTTAGAGGCAGACAAGAGGACTGCAGAGGACTCGTGTGTCCCATGCTCTCTGAAAAGGGCTCCCATTTCTCCTGGGGACCAAAAGTAACAACAAAAGTAGCTTTTTATTTGCAGAGCTCACACCTTTTTCAAAATACACAGCTAAACCTGTCCCTGCTTTAAGGGCTATAGCACTTGAATCCGGGAGGTGGAGGCTGCAGGGAGCCGAGATCGCGTCACTGCACCACCCTGGCGGCAGAGCGAGACTCGTTCTCAAAACAAAAACAAAAAAAAGGAACGTTTAAAACGACTAACTCCGTAACTTAATTTAGGGAACGCGGGTTCCGTTTTTCACTCTAGCCGTCCCCTATGGAGAAATTGCTTGGCTTCCCACAGACTTTAACACCTGCCAAAGTTCCATGCTGGGAATCTGTCCCTGTTTCAAGCTACTGGGGCCTCCGCGGGTTCTAAAACTCCCTGCTGTCCGGAGACAACACGGGGAACGAAACTCCGCCCTGTGTGGAGGCGGGGCCGGAGGTGAACGCGCTGCAAAACCGGGCGCCTTCCGAGACCCTCTAGCCGGAAGCGGAGCCTGCCCCTATGTCCGCCTGGCGGGAACCTGGGCTCGCCCCATTCCGGCGATCCGCAGTCAATTGGTAGCGCCTGCACGTCGCGCGCGGAGTTCGATTGGCGTTGCCTGGGGAGGAGGAACCACCGCCGCCGCCGCCGCCGCTGTGGGCTTGGTTTGTGAGGAAGGGCCTAGGCCGCAGCCTCCAGTGGTGGGGCTCGCCGCGCTCCGGGGCTCGCTTCCTGCCGTGTCCTGCGCTCCAGCTTCGCCCACGTCCCCTTGCCAGCGGGCTGGGCGCGGAGAAGACCTGCCGGAGCCATGGAGGACGAGGTGGTCCGCTTTGCCAAGAAGATGGACAAGATGGTGCAGAAGAAGAACGCGGTGAGCGCGGCGGTCGGCGCGGGCCGGAAGGGAGGCCGGGCCGAGGCCGGGTCCCGAGGGGGATCCCCTCTCCCTCTCCCTCCCCTCCCCCTGCAGCCTCCCTTTGGGGAGCCGTGCCCGGCGCCCCCGCGTCCCCAGGAGGGTGTCCGGGCCCGGGGCGTCGGGTCCCGCGGCCACCGGCGTTAGGACCCGATCGCTCTTGTATTTCCAGTCCCTCCTCCCTCGGGCGGCGTAGTAAACCGGATCGATTTGGGATTAGGGCACGTTCTCCGTTGGTTGTAAACTTTCGTGGGAGTAAAACCTTGGCAGTTTAGCTTAAGATTGAAGCGTAGCACGTCCTCGGGATGTGAGAGTGCCCTGTTCCGCGGTCCGAGGCCAGCATCCAGAATGAGCATCAAACAGGCTCGTGGGCAGTCTTAGGCATCAGGCTGGTGACATGTAAAACTCCTGGATCTCGTTTTTGAAGAGGGCTAAGCATCCGCCTGGTTATCTCCACTACGCTACATGTTTGCCGAGCGATTAAAAAGGTAAAATGTGCCAGTCTCTTGGCAAGTTGCTAAACGTTTTATAAAAAGTGGGTCTTGTCCCGTCCTAATGTGCAGAAGGACTGGTGACTAAAGCACGCACACTCACCGGAGCGCTGGCAGAGGGATTTGCACCAGTTAGATCGTAGGGTGCTTTCTACGTGGTTTGCAGTTAACGCCGGGGCATTTTCTTGTTATTGATGCGTATTTATGTGAGCATGTCCTTTTGTGGTTTGTAAGAAGTCATACGACCGGTTTCTGCAGTTTGTGCATTTGTGTGGCACTTTTCAGTCCACCTTGCTTCAGACTCATCTGTTCTTCGCTAAACTTCTATAATTGTTTTCACCTAAATTTGTCCCACCATGCTCGGCACATTTTCACCATCAATATACCTGAAATAATTTTCTTCCGTCTACGAAACAAATTCCATGTCAAACTAATATGAAGAGAAAAGGGATGCTCTCATTCCTACGGCACTTTGGAGTTAAATAGCATCCGTGCAAAATTCTTTTGTGACTCACACAGAGCTGTGACAGAGCTGTGAGTACATAAAGGGCATCCATTTTACAGGTTAAAACACAGACAGAGATTAAATACTACTACTCAAATTAAGTACTGTGTATTTGGAATAAACCAGGACCCAGGTTTTCTTCTGGACAGCATACTTTCCACATGACAGCTAGGTCAGGAATTAATGTTAACAGTAAGTATGTAAGACTTCAAGCAACCTCTGTTCCCTTTTTTCCTTTAAGAGGAAATACTGGGCAGGCATTCTCCAGTATTTCATTTCATACCCTGTTACCCTGTATTTGAAATTTTGGCCTTTTAAAGTATGTCCATCCTGGCACTGTGGCTTAAGCCTGGCATCCCAACACTTTGGGAGGCCGAGGTGAGTGGATCACGAGGTCAGGAGTTCGAGACCAGCCTAACATGGTGAAACTCTGTCTGTACTTAAAAAAAAAAAAAAAAAAAAAAAGCCGGGTGTGATGGCTGGCCGCCTGTAGTCCCAGCTACTCAGGAGGCTGACGCAGGAGAATCCTAGAACCCGGGAGGCGGAGGTTGCAGTGAGTGGAGATTACGCCACTGCACTCCAGTCTGGGCGTCAGAGCGAGACTCCGTCCTCCCACCCAGAAAAAATAAAATTTCCTGTTCGTTTTCTGTTCTAGATATTACCAGTGCCATTCCCCCCCATTGATATGCCCCGTCATTCCCCACTTCAAATTCTTATTTGAAAAGTTATGTGATTATTGGAACATTTCCATTATGTTGTTTAAACTGGACAATTTTTCTCTGTGCCTAGAGATCCCCAAACTTGCACAGCAGAAGCTCCCAGGCAAAAAAGCCATTTGTTGGGTAATTTTCTGTCCAACTTAGACTGTAATATGTATCCTTTAATCATCTAATGCATTCGGTGTTTGCTTGATTTTCTTTCTTTGCTTCTCTCCTTTTAATAGGTGTTTCTTAAAACACCTTAGTGGACAAGTATGGAGAAAATAAGTTCATATTTATCTGCAGTTCCCAAATTGTCAACAGATGTTCAGATCTTTTGTAATGAGCCTGCAAGAAAATGAGAATAAACTCCACAGATAATCCTCAAATCTAAATTTTCTTCTCAAATCTAAGTTTTCAGATAATTCAAAACTTTACCAATATGAAAACTTGCCTCCCAAAACGAAAAGTAAAACTGACTGGCTTTTACCTTCCCCCCGCCCCCCATCATTTTCCCTGCCTGTTGTCTGGAAATTCAAACAGGCTGATGAAATACAGAGAAAGAGAAATGGTCAGAATGACACTCCTCTTTCCCCCAGGTACAGATGGTTTTTTAAGTGTTCAATAATTCAACAGAAAGGGGTTGTAGAATTATGGTATATTTGCTTCTCTTTTTTTCTGTGGTTTTCAGGGTTTTTTCAACTTTTAAAAAATATTTCATATTACGAAAAAGTTAACTTTGGTTTTTCTTTTTTTTCTGGAGACAAAGTCTTGCTCTGTTACCCAGGCTGGAGTGCAGTGGCATAGTTTCGGTTCAGTGCAACCTCCACCTCCCAGGTTCAAGTGATTCTGTTGCCTCAGCCTTCTTAGTAGCTGGGACTACAGGTGTGTGCCACCATGCACGGCTAATTTTTGTAATTTTAGTAGAGATGGGGTTTCAGCATATTGGCCAGGCTGGTCGCAAACTCCTGACCTCAGGTGATCTGCCTCTCCTGGCCTTCCAGAGTGCTGGGATTACAGATGTGAGCCACCACACTCAGCCTGAAAAAGTTAATTTTGAAGAGTAATAGTTGTCATCAGAATTGACAAATTTAAGTGCAAATTTGGGTATCATTTAAAAAATATTTTAACATGCTCCTGCTTTACCTGACTCATTTTGTTGTAATAAAACCATAGATGTCACACTTAACTAAAATAAAAACAGCTGCCATTTATTGAGCCATTACTCTGAGGCAGGTATTCTGCTAAATACTTACCCACCTATCCCATTTATTCCTCAGACAACTTTGCAAGCTGAGTATTATCCTCATTTTGAAAATGAGGATATTAAGTATTTAGAAAAGTTAAGTGAATCGTCTTAAGCCAGATAGCTAGTAAGTGGCCCAGCGAAGATGTGAATCTAAATGTTTTGCTCCAAAGCTAGTACTACTCTGTTAAGCTACAGTGTCTCTCTACAAGACCCTTGTGTCCGTTTTTGAACCATGCATGGATACAATTAAGTGAATATAAAATCAAGAAGTAAGGGTATGAACTTGCTCTTTTGGGGCAGCTGAGTTTCCCTAAATACCTAGATCAACATCCTGACCCTACTTGTACCCAGGATGTTGTCACACGTGTGTATTTGATCTCAAGCAGTCTTCTGAGCAGTTTTTTTTTTTTTTTTTTTTTTGAGACAGAGTTTCGCTCTTGTTACCCAGGCTGGAGTGCAATGGCGCGATCTCGGCTCACCGCAACCTCCGCCTCCTGGGTTCAGGCAATTCTCCTGCCTCAGCCTCCCGAGTAGCTGGGATTGCAGGCACGCGCCACCATGCCCAGCTGATTTTTTGTATTTTTGGTAGAGACGGGGTTTCACCATGTTGACCACGATCTCTCGACCTCGTGATCCACCCATCTCGGCCTCCCAAAGTGCTGGGATTACAGGCTTGAGCCACCGCGCCCGGCCTTCTGAGCAGTTTTACAAGTGCACATGACCAAGCCAAAATGAACCGCAGAAAGCAGTTTGAAATTTTTAGGTATCACTTGTTTTCCGCTTAAGCTTTTTTCTTGTCGCTTTGATTTGATATCAGTAACTAAGTCTGACTCCTAATGTGGGTTTAAATCCTGGTTTTTCTGAACTTTAGCTTTGCGATTTTAGGCAAGCTCTTTGTTATCATTAAAATGTTCTTTGTCATGATAAATTGGAGATACATAGTAGAAATTAAGTGAATATAAAATGCTTCTAGTGTAGGATTATAGCCCTAAAGGATGTACTAAGGCCTAAAAAACAATCTGAGGTTGCCTTTCTTTGTAAAGGATTCATGTAGATTATAGGAGGAGTGAGGCAAGAACATGAAGTTTTGAAGTTTATGGAGAGGTTTTGTAGGTAGTGTTGAGGTTTATTTATTTATTTCGTTGAAGGCTCAAGTTTGAGTGAAATTAAATTGCAGGGAGAGAAATTGAAATTAGATGTTAGAATTTCCTAGGAGCTGGGATACCTGAAATATTTACATTTATAAGTACCTGGGTTAAAACAACAACTGCGACAAAACTTTCATATCTATATCAGCGTTAGATTAATTAGCATAGGTCAAAATTTAGAATGACTGCACAATTTTTAATAACAGCTTTATTGAGACTTAGAATGAAATTCACTCTCATAGTTGACTCTTGAGCCATGCAGGGGTTATGGTTCTTATACCATCCCCCTCCATACCCACATACAGTCAAGTAGTATAACTTTTGCAGTAGTATGATTCATGCAGTCATGTAGTCAGTATGAGTCAGCATGAACCAGTAGTATAACTCATGCTGTCATGAGTATAACTTTTGACTCCTCAAACATAGCCTACTGTTGAACAGAAGCCTTACTAATGATAACTTAAACCATAGATTAACACATTTTATATATTATACGTATTATATAATTTTTTTTTTTTTTTTGAGGCTAGGTCTCATGCTTCGCCAAGGCTGGAATGCAGTCTTACTATGGCTCAGCTCACTGCAGCCTCGACCACCTGGACTCTGGTGATCCTCCCACCTCAGCCTCCCGAGTAGCCAGGGTTATAGGCATGTGCCACCACACCTGGCTAATAAACTTTTTTGTATTTTTATTTTTTTAAGACAGTCTCTCTGTGTCACTCAGGCTCCTGGAGTGTGGTGGTATGATCTTGGCTCACTGCAACCTCCGCCTCCTGGGTTCAAGCAGTTCTCCCACCTCAGCCTCCCAAGTAGCTAGGACTACAGGTGCGTACCACCACCATACCCAACTAATTTTGTACTTTTAGTAGAGGTTTTGCCATTTTTCCCAGGCTGGTCTCTGCATCCTGATCTCAAGTGATCCACCTACTTTGGCCTCCCAAAGTGCTGGGATTACAGGTGTGAGCCACTGCACCCAGCCTTTTTTTTTTGTATTTTTTGAAGAGGTGGGGTTTCACCATATTGCCCAGGCTGTTGTGAATAATACTGCTAAAAACATTCTTGTAAAAGTGTTTGTGTAGACATATGTTTTCATTTATTTTGGGTGTACACCTAGGAGTATAATTACTGGTCATATAGTAACTATGTTTAACCTTTTCAGGAGCTGCCAGACCTTTCCAGTGTGACTACCATTTTACATGCCCACCAGCAGGGTGTGAAGATTCCAGTTTCACCTCATTTTCACCAATATTACTTGTCTTGATTATAGTCTTCCTAATGGGTGTAAAGTGGTATTTCATCCCTTGTGATAACAATGTTAAACATCTTTGCATTGCTTTGTGGCCATTTGTATATTATCTTTGGAGGAACAAATGTCTGTTCAGATACTTGGCCCATTT